AAGCAGAAGAATCAGGTGGCCCTAACGCTAGCCTGGGCTATATGAGACCCTGGCTCAGAAAACAAAACACAAGAAAAACAAACAAAAACAAAATAAAACCTGTTTCTTTTCTAAGAAGGCTAACTTTCAGCAGACTGCAGAAGTCCCCATGTTGTTGATCTGGATATGGTGGTTTGGCTGGCACAAGGAACAACACTGTGTCCGGCTTGTTGTGAAATACAGTGAACCTGCTTGTGCATATGCACAAAATGGCACATGGGGTCAGCAGAATTATGGGATGCTTATCATAATTTTTTTTTACCTTCTCTCTGCTGCCTGAATAAAGTTTCTTCATGAGATGAAAGGGTTGATCCCACCAAATGTCCATCTACATCACACACACACACACACACACACACACACACACAACAATCAAAGAACATTTGATGACCTATTTAGGCCTAACTTGCTTTAGGGCTTCTCTGCTGGCTTTAGGAGCCAAGAGCCAAATGCCCTTCTGCCCACTGATGCACACTGACATTGTTTGGTGTCTTGGTTCTCCTGCATGGCAAACATGAGGACCTTCTGAACTGCCAAGGTCAAGCAGGTCTTTCTCCTCATGCTAATCCATTGTCTGTTTGTTGCCCCCAGAACCACTTGTTCCGAGCTGAATCTGGCCGATGTCAGCACCGTGCACACGATGGGCTGTGTCTTACTGCGGTAAGGAGATGAGCCCTGCTGGGATGCTTTCCATTTGCAGAGCACTTAGGGATATGAAGCTACACTGTTCGATGCAGGCTTTTTGGCCACTCTACCTGATTGAAGTTTGTAAGGACAAAGCATAGCTTCCGATTCTGCACGGAGGTAACAAGTTTAGGGAAGGATGGCTGGCAATTTCTTGTGAACTGTTAGGAGAGAGACCTACAAAAACATTTATCCAGTGTAACACTCCTGCCAGAAGCAAAGGTATTCTAAAGAAAGACACTGTGTCCCACCCTTTGGCTACTGAAAAAGGCTCAAGAAACTGTAATTTCCCCAGGGGTCTCAAGCTCTGGGGAGGACAAGGCTGAAGCCCAGAGCAGAGGAAGAACCTGCCTCCCAAGGAGAGATTTCACTCAGTTCTGACAACTTGTCAGACCTCATTGCTGGAGAGACTGGGGCTGAGACAATGATAGGTCAGCCACGGGCATGCCCACACCTAGACAGGACTGCTTAGCTATGTACAACCCTTGCCCTCATGTCAAGACTCCAAAGATGGAGAAGAAAGTCTTGAATCATTTTGTTCCTCTTCCTAGTGTGGCTACCATCAATTATCTCCTTTCTTTTATTTTTATTTTTATTTCTCTATTTACTAGTTGGCCTATTGAGAATTGGTGGTTGAGCCTAGCTTGTTAGGACTGCAAGGGTGCAGGCTCTGATCTAACAATTCCATGAACATGAAGACTTTAAAGAAGGAGCTCTTTGATTCTGTGAGTTCCGTGCTTTCCCTGAATGGGAGTCCTTGGAAGACCTTCAGTTCTAATTCCCTCCCAAACATCCCCCATATTGGAGACTGTCTTAGAGTTTTTATTGCTGTGAAGACATACCTTGTCCACAGCTACTCTTATAAAGGAGAACATTTAATTTGGGACAGCTTACAGCTTCAGATGTTTAGGCCATTATTATCTGGTGGGAAGTAAGGCAGCATGCAAGCAGACATGGTGCTGGAGCAGAAGCTGAAAGTTCTATACATTGATCCACAGGCAACAGGAAGTGAACTGAGTCCCACACTGAGAGTAGCTTGAGCATGAGACCTCAAAGCCCGTCCCCACAGAGGCCCACTTCCTCCAGCAAAGTTACATCTATTCCAATAAGGCTACACCTTCTAATAGTGCTATGCTCCCTATAGGTGGAGCATTCAAACATGTGAGTCTATGGGGACCACACCTATGTAAACCATCACAGGGACTCGGCAGCTTCAGCTTCTCCTTTGCCCTCACAAGTCCAGATGGAGTTATTATGTAACAGCTTTTCAAGGAGATATCATTGTCAGCCTCAGAGCTGTTCAAGTGATACCCTCACCACACTTACACATAAAACCATCTGCCAGGATAGTACCTTCCATGGTAGACTGGGTTCTCTTGCATCAATCATAAATCAAGAAAATGTACCCACAGACATTCCCATAGGCCATGGAGACAATTCCTCAGCTGAGGTTCCCTCTTCTTACACAACCCCAGTTTGAGTCAAGTCTTGTGAATATGTGAGTCTCATTTAGCCCAGAGTTGCCCAGAATTCACTGTGTATCCAAGGATTCCTTGAACTTTTAATCTTCCTACCTCTCTCTTCCACATACTGAGATTACAAGGGTGGTGTCACTATAACTAACCTTGATGGAGAGAAATAGTAAAAGTCTTGGCAAATCCTGAGCCAGCTGCTCCTCTGCTCCCTTCACCTGCCCTTCAGGGGTCCCTGAAGCATTGCTCAATGCTGATTCACTTACTGAATATATTAATAAAATGATGAGAAAAGTAAATCTCAAATGCACAAATGCGTCAGCCACCTACTTAGCCAGACCTTCCTAGAGGAAAAGTCCTTCTGACGAGCATTTTCAGACTTTGCTTACTGCCCATCGACAACCACCTCCTCTTTGCCAATTTCAAACATGTCATTTAACATCATTTATACATGCCCAGAATCCCTGGATAGTGGGTATGCTGAAAAAAAATATAGAATAAATAAACTAGTTCCTGAACGTCACAAATAAATGCAGTGGAATTAGACATTTCTAAAATCACTTGGTCTTGAAGAGTGAAATGGTAATGATAATAGAATAATAAACAGGGTTTTTTCACTTGAAGAAGTATAAGAGAAGGTGGGAAAACTCATTCCACAGACAAGAGAAATTCAAGAAAGAGAGCCATGCCTGCATGGAGAACTGGCTTTGTTATTTTTGAGGCTTTGCCTTCTCACAGTCTCTTCCCAGAGCCTCCATTCAGCCTTTTCCTCTGGGCTCTCTGTTGAGGGGTGAATGTGGGTCTTTACAACTGGGGCAGCAACAATGCATTACTATAAGCAAAGGTCTACTTGGCTTAGAGACACATGGACTAGAATTGTACACACACACACACACACACACACACACACAGCCACACTGAGTGCTGTAAGTCAGGTATCGAGGTCACCTGTGCTGGTTAGTTTTGTCACCTTAACACAAGATTTGGACATCTGAGGACAGGGAACCTCAACTGTGGAATGACCTCCATTAGATGGGTCTGGAGGCAAGTTCATGTGCCAGTTTTCATGATTAATGATTACCATGGAGGCCCAGTCCACTATGGGTGGTGCCAGCCCTGGGCAGGTGATCCTGGGCTGAATAGAAAGGCAGGCTGAGGAAGTCATGGGAAACGAACCTATAAGCAGTACCTCTCTGTTTCCTGCCCTGATTTCCATGATGGTAGGCTATGATGGGAACTTGTAAGTCAAACTCTTTCTTTACCCATGTTGGTTTTGGTCAATGCTGTATCACTGCAACAGGAAGTAATGAGAACATCATCGGATAGAAGTATGTATTCTAAAATGTAAACAAGGGAAAGTAGCCTAAACTTCAAAGCTTGCTGCACAATTACTGTGAACTATATTTAAAGTATACATTTGACCCATTTACCTAAAGAAGTTTATATATTCAAGTTTACCTAAATCATGCTTTTTCTTTTTAGATGCCTGGGAGTATTTAAAATACCACATTGTAATTGGGATTGTTGTATATTTGGGCTTAAGAGGCATTTACTAAGCGACTGCCATGTGTTTAATCTGACGTATAACACAGTTACACGACTCAGTCTCACTCATACCCTGCTAGGCCTTTGTGGCTTTGGAACCAGCTCTAAGAAAGCTGGTTGCATACTCCCTGAGCACCCATGTAAGCGTCCATCCCACACACCTCATCACCCCATCTAGATCCTCCTCCCATCTTTCTAAACTCATTCAGAAACTGAGTATAACAGAACAGAGTGATAATGTATTCAGATTAGCAGACTATGGGGAAATATCCAGCATTTGTAGGTGGTCAAAACCAGGGGGTCCTGGGGGGCTGTGGATCTTCATTCACTAATTCTTTGTAACAAGTTGACTTGCCCAGCCAGTCAGCCTTGAACATGAATATTTCTGAGCAAGAGTGTATAGCTTTACTGCAGGAAGACAGCTGTACAGGAACAGCTCATTAAAATGACTTTGATGGACATGAAGGAGAACGTGAGCTATTCCCTACAGCAAAGCAAGAGTCTAAGTGCAGAAAAGGATGAGATCTGCAAAGCTCAGAATTCCACCCACCCACCCATGTCTTCCAGAACTGTTAGCTAACCCAATGCTCAAGGTGCCTGAATGATCTCAGTGACAACACAGACTCATTCATTCTGGAAGTGTTCACAGATGTGGGTCCTGGGGGTTCAGTGACAAGCACACAGTGGGAACAATGTATCAGAAACAAATCCCAGGCAGAAAGAACACCACCTCCACCTCTACTCTGGTACTGGACCTGACTCCACCTCCAGTAGGATTCTTTCTCATCTAACCAGTGTTTATTGACTCTACAGCACCTCAGAATTTATATATCCAGTCTGTCCTTTTTTAAAAAAAATTTCTTTTATTTAATGAAAATGTTTTACTGCATTTAATTTTATTTTGTATGTGTGTCACAGTGTACATGTGAAAGACAGACGAAAACTGTGAAGATCAGTTCTGTCTTTCTTACCATGTGGGCCCCAGGTCTCAAACATTGGTCATTAGTCTTGACAGGGAATGCCTTTCCCTGCTGAGCTGTTGCATTTATTATAAATCATTCTTAAATAGTACCTAATCATTTGATTATGAAGTGTTCCCTTTAGGCTCATGTGTTGGAAGCATGGTCCCCAATTGGTAACACTGTTTTACTTTAAAAGATGGGATCTAGAGGAAGGAAGTCAGTGGGGTTGTGCCAGGTCTCAGTATCTTTCTCACTTCCTGTTTTCCACAAAGTGAACAGTCTTCTCCACACACCTCTACTGCCATTGCATCCTGTAAGGTTTTTTTCTGGTGCACGGACAATTTGGTGATCTGGAGCCAAGGAACCACAAAGTCACACTGTGCAACAAACTTCATACTAGAGATTTATTGGGGAGAGACACAGAATGGTTGCTGCCCGTGGGCAGGAACAGAGACAGCAGAGGATTGGGTAGAGGGAAGGGCTTTTATAGGCCTTTTGGAGCATGCACAGTCATTAATGACGAGTCATGAGGGTAGGCATTTTCAAGTCGGGAGCTTTACGTCAACCCAGGAACAGAGTGCTCTTCCCTTGGCCCTGGCCTCAAGCTTGAGGTGAAATTAGGGTCACGGTGTTCTTTCCTTGGCCCTTTCCCCCTACATTCCTCCATTTTTTGTTTACTACTGATATCTAATCAGGAGTTGGGAAACAGGGTGGCATGATCATTAAATTACTTCCTGTTGTATGGAGGCATCGAAGTCCATGGGGCAAGCTTGATCCTCACCACTTGAGTATAGTCAGGAGTCAAAGGGCCCTGGTTTTGTAGCCAGGCCCTGATAATCCTGTAATAACAAGTGATTAAAGGTCTGGTTAGAAATCATTTGAATTTGTTGTTGAAGAAATCTAGAAAGGAGTTTATAAAACAGGGGCATGTAGGATGAGGAAAAGGAAAGAAAGGTATAGTGGAATTTCAATTGTATTTTAATAAATAAAGGCTGAACATCTAGAGTAAAACAGTCCCACTGGTCAGCCTTACAGACCAGGTTATGGTAACACACACCTTTAATCCCAATAGCCACACTAGCTGCCGTAGAAATCGGGTGGTGCATGCCTTTAATTCCAGTGGTGTGTGCCTTTAATCCCAGTCCTAGAGAGGAATGTAAGACATGGGGGAGCAGCTCTCAGCCACAGTCTCATTCTGAGATTCCTGGAGGCAGGATCGCCATTTCAGACTGAAGTCAAGGTAAGAGCCAGTAGCTGACTGGTTTGTTTTCAGATCTTTAGGTTGAACCCCAATTTCTGACCCTGAGCCTTTAACAATGCTTCGGAAAGAGGGTTGAGAAAGGCATTATCCAATTCCGTATTGGACTGTCAACAGTCCCCTAGCCAGAGGAATCAAGCTGCTCCTTACATTGTGGGGGATTTGACTGGAGTTGTCAGACCACGTCTTTTACTGTATCTGATTGGTTGACATAGAAGTAACATTCCTCCTCGAGGAAGAGACGAAGGCCACTCTTCTCCATTGTTAGTAGATCTAATCCTTGCCAGTTTCCGCTAATGGTTTTCAAGTGTTTTACATAGAAAGAAGAATTTTTCCTAATGCCACGCAATAAGATCTGTGTCTTTCATAAAGCAGATTGAGCACCCCATCGAATTGTAGAACCACTTCAGATAATAAATCAACCTATTGATATATTTGCGTCTATTTGGTTTTAACAAGTACCTTTCCTGGTGTGCCAATGGGCACGATAAGTAACCGTTTTGTCCCCTATACCAGGGAGTTTCCTTTTGACCTAACTTTCCAGCCTTTTATTTATAGGCTAAGAGGTGATGTGCTCCCTTCTGTGACTACTTCCTGCTGGAACTGAGATGTCACTCTCAGGGCACAGGAAGGCTGAAGGATAATAAAAGACTGGGAGAAATTTCAGGCAATGGAGAATTGACGAGAAGGATATGGTTTGCTGGCCCAGCTAAACATACAGGGAACAAACATCACCACACTGGCTGGACTGGTTCACATCAGCAAGTCCAGGACTCACAGCTGCTTGGGGCAGTTTGTAGTCTGCAGTTGATTTCTGGATAGTATCTGTCAGTCAAGTGGAAATCTGCTGAAACATACAGAGTAGGAACAGAAGTTAAAGTTTAGGGACTTAAAGGAAAAGCGAACATTTGGAACTTTCAAGGCCATAGTCCTGGTAGTTGAGGGAGGCAAGGAGTCCCAGAGGAGAAACAGAGATCACACTGTCAGAAGTAGGCAGGTGGGGAAACTTAGGCTGTATTTATCTGTAGTTCATTTTACTGGTGAGGGGTGAATCCAAGTCTTATGACTCCCTTGACTTCCTAAAGTTTACATGATTTTTCTTTGTTTACAAGAAGAGATAAAAGTTTTAGATATATTAGCATTATCACTATTTGAAATCCACATTGGAGAAAAATCAGCTAACAGTCATAACATAGCAAAATCTTTGGGTTAAAAATTATAAATATCTCTCCTCTGTCCAGAGAGCCATACATACAGATTTGGGTTAAACAAAGAGGTTTTAGCACATGAGAAGAAGATTTACATTTTTACTTAGAAGACAAAAAAGGAAACTTCAAATCTTGAGCTTGTGGTTGATAATCATAGTCAGTGCTTTATCATCAAACCAGAACCCAGGTGATCAATATGATAATGTTGAACCTACAAAATAGAGGGAGAAGAAAACCTGAAACATTTTTCATTACCTTAGATTACTTTCTTGTATCTTTACAATTTGCATTTATATAACTTAAAACATCAGTTTTCACATCCTCAGGCACTTTGTTTGACTCTCAGAACTTATGTAAGCTTTCACGTTTACCAGAGACACACATAGTTATTACTGAAAGTAGTCATTGCAAAACAAGTTCCTTTAAATCCTTTTATTTTGCTCTTTTTTCTCTGTCCTAGTCAGTTGACCTGCCTGATATAGGACAAAGATGTTAGAAGAAACCTTTAAAGAAACATGCTTGGGTCTAGGAGAGGGGAGCCATAACCCATCTTCAGAGCCAGCTTTCCAATAAAGTGGAACAACAAAAAACAACTTTAATATTATCTATATTCAAAAGACATGAATCCCTGATAAACTGAATCCAGTGACCAGAAAGCTCAGAGATAAATTCTGAGCCCTGACCATCAAAGTAGTCATGGCAATTGGCATTGATGGTGGTGGCGAATGACTGGCAGCAGCAGAGAAAGTAAAAACAAAATCAATAAACACGGAACACAGAAAGCTCATATGTTCAAAGCAGACTAGTCAGAAACAAAACAAGTGGTGGCCACCATTGTTCGTTCATTCAAATGAGCCTAACCATTTCCGACTGGGCTCTTATGTCTGCCACAAGACTTATAGACACACAAGAAAACACAGACTCATCCTCACAGGCAAAACTTTCCAAACAACCAGAACCAAGCAAGGGGACAATGCCTCACTTTTTGTCCTAGAAGGGAGCAAAAAGGTTTTGTAGTTGGGTGATGAGAGGGGGATAATGTTTGCCTATAGAGGGATTTTGGGTGTCCCACACTCAAGGATAAAGGTGGGAGGCCAGCAAGGAAAAGGTGTGTAGGATTGTGTGATTTAGAAGAGAAGGAGAATAGCCAGTGAGCCTAGGGTCAAGCAGATAGGGGGGTGAAGGAAATAGAAGCTCCCAGTTTGGTTAGGAGCTCCCTCCCCAGAAAGGGGATGGGGCAAGTAACACTAGGAAGGAGCAGGTAGGAGGGATACCCCTAAAGATACAAGTAAGTGATGGGGTTTGGTAAAGTTGGTAACAACAACAGGGAAATGAGAAGGGGAGGTGAGTCCCCAAAACTCAATCAGTACCAAGTGGTGACCCCAGTGTCCAGTAGGAAGGAGATGAGCTGCCCTGTTATAATGATGACTACCTGGGGCTCCCTGCCAGAGATGGTGAAGGTCAGACCGAGGAAGCCCAGGCCCCCAGTCACCTAAGATTGGCTAGAGTGTGATCTGAGCCTGATGCCCCCATGCCACGAATGACATGAAGGCAATCTTCATCCCAGTATCCCTTTTGATGGCATCTTGGACATGGTTGCCGTACTTTACAAAAGTACAAGAAGGTCCAGGCTCAGTGACCATCCTGACCACATTTGAAGTAGGGATGGATCCAGATGTTCTTATTTAGGAAGTGAGGGATTTAGGCAGTGGCTATAGCCAGCTAAAAATCTTTAGAAACATCAGGTATTTTTGTTTGGGGATTTTCTCTTCTCTTCCTAGGACACTACTAGGACTTTTGCCTATGGAGTCAGGGTTCCCCTCTCTAGGCATTGGAGCTTGGCCCTAATGTCAGGAAAACTCTGGGAGAAAAAGTAAGTCATAAGGAGTGGTTGTTATGTGTGGTCTTAGGATCCAGATTAGCATATTGTAGGAGGACCTGTGTAAGGCAGCCTGGTAAATGAGATGGGTTTCCACATTTGTACTGGATGATCTCTTTGATTTAGGGCAACCTTGTAGAGACTGACCAGGAAGCAAGTTATAAATTGTCCTTTAGCTAAAATGCCCCCTAGGTTATTGGAGTTCCATTAGGAATCCCAGTCAGGGGTTGCCTGAACCCCGACTGGGTGGGCAGCATTAGCTTGGTGGACTTCTTCTGCATGCATGCTAGCCTGTTCCCAGGCTTGTCTGCACTCCTCAGAGAGAAGGCTGATGGTGAGAATCATAGAAATGTCAGGGAAGGTGAGATTGTGAGATTGGGGAATACACCAGAATTCTTTAATAAAGGTAGAGGAATTTGCAATATAGGACCCCAATCTTTTTTCTATTTGAAAGAGCACACTTAATAAGAAGGGAACATGTACCCTGATCAAGTCATCCACCCTGGTGACTTTCTGCCAAAGACTGGGTTAGGCAAAGAGGGTTCCACGGTGGAGCAAGAACAAGTAGCAGAGAACTAAGGGCTAGCACGGTCCGAAACTAGAAGCTGACACCAGAGAAATTTGATTAGGGCAGCCCATCACTGAAGATGGACGAGCTGAGATGAGAAAGGCCAGAGAGAAAAAGGAGCTGTGGGTTGAGGTCAGTAGGGGGAAAGGTCGTTAGCTGGATAAAAAATAGTGGAGAAATCACCCGGTTCAGGCTTCATGGCTAGGAGGAGCAGGGTAGGGGGAGAGGAAGAACCGAGAGGGGCTTGGGTCAGAAAGAAGAGAAAACTTGGACATAGGAAATTCCTTTACATTTTCTAGATTGCTTGCTGTAGTTGTAAAGGTCCTAGATAATATTGGCCTCTAGGGAGCCATTAGGCAGGCATTTGGATTGGTTATCTAGAAAAACTGAGGTCAAATTTAATTACAAAAGCAAATAAATTTTGGGGCCTTTCAGATGAGGTGCCAGGTGGAGAGGCTGGAGGTTTTCTAAGAGGCATCCCAAGGGAGAATCATAGGGTGTGAATATCACCTATGGTGTGGATACGGGGAGGGTTGTTACAGCAGCCTGTAGTCAAGGATGTCCCAAGACTGAGTGAGGCTCAAAGGAAGAGCAAGCCATTTAATGAGTCATCACTGCACTCCACAGGGGTCAGGGCTAACCACCTGTAGAGCTAGAGTTTTCAAAGAGGCCGAAGTCTTGTAGAAGATAACAGAACACCGAGCTCAGGAATGAGGTTTTATCCACAGGAAGGGCAGGGGAATGGAGTCGCATGGAATCATAAAAGCAGTGAGAGCATAGGGAAGCAATGGGCATCTCTGGGAGGGGGACAGAAAAACAAGTGGGAGGAAAGGATCACAATAGCCCAATTAGTTTTAAGGAAGTTGCAGGGTTCAGGTTCCAAGGTAGGGGCTGTGGGAAAAGCGCAGAGGACCAATCATAGCTGTAATGACCATGTCTAAGGTTATCTCCATTTCCAAGGGCACCTGAGGGTTACCAGACAGTCACTTCCTTGGACTAAGGAAAATGTTTACACTGACTGAAGGTGAAACATTCCAAATTACTTCTGGTGGATGGGATCCCAAGCGATCTGGAAGGTGAGTCTGTTGCGGGTGGAATGGGTGCAAGGGCATTTTGAGAGTTGGGAGCCAAGGAATACCACAAAGTTATGCCATCTGATGAACTGCATAAAAGGTTTATTAGGAAGAGATGCAGAATGGTGGGTGTCTCTGTCCAGAAACAGAGATAACAAAGGGTTGGGCATAGAGGATGGCATTTTTAGGTTTTATGGAGCATGCTCAGTGAGCTGGTGGGAAAGTATAGCACTGCCAAAAGTCTTGTTTGGCCAATAACACTGAGTTATGGGGGCATGGATAATGTCAGGGGCAGGGTATTCTTAATTTAGCCCCCTTTCCCTACACATCCTATCTCAACATGGGTCCAGAATCAACAGCTCTAAGGACTATGAACTAAAAATCTCTCAAACTGTGAGGCAAAAGAAGTCAGGCATGTTATCACAAGCACCAGCAAAGCTCCTAATGGGAAAGCCGTTTCTGCTCAATCAAAACAATCATCTATCTTCTCGAAAGGGCCACAGAAACTGAGCTGGATACCTAGGAAATCAATGTATTTTACCCTGGGATGGGTTTTTGTTGCCCAGTGAAAATGGATAAGGAAGAACAGTTCAAAATAAAATCAGAGTCATTTATTGCTTGTTTGCCATGAATGCAGGAGGGAGTTATGAATAGTCCAAAATGGTATGGGACATACACAAGAAGGAACTTAACCACATAGTGGGACGGAATCATGTGCTCAGAGTATATCAAAACATGGCGTAGAACCCAAGAATGTTTTAATTAGTTTGTTCATTGTTAGACAGGGTCTCACTGTGTAGCCCTTACTGTCCTGAAACACATTTGTATATTAGGATGGCCTTAAACTCTTGACCCTTCTGCTTCTGCCTTCCAAGTGCAGGGTTAGAGGTATGAGCACTATGCTTACCTTCCAGAGCACATCTGAAAGTAAATATCATAAAAGTAAATATTCTAAGTATCAATTTCGCTCATGACAATATTAAAATGACATTATAATGTTAAAAAAATTGGAAATTGCTTGTGTGTTTTGTCCATGTTCCTAAGTCCTAGCTAGTCCTCTGAGCTATGGTTCTTCAGGGATGAACCCCTGCTGAAAAGTGTTCCTAATGGTTGCCCACCAAATCCAAAACTTGTTTTGGGCCTGGAAGCAATCCACTTATGAATAATTGCTCCCATGCTTTGCTAACCAAGTATTTTTAAACTGAAGTCACTGGTGTTGTGATCCAGCTGCCCTCACTCCCCCTGATCGGCAGGGGAACTTCCTTGTGGTCTGTAATTGACAAGGATGTTTGTGTTCTTTCTGGCCAGTAGGTCTCCACAGAAGGAGTAGAGGTATAAAAGGTTGCTGGGCGAAATAAAGGTTGCTGTTCTTCCACCAGAAAAGAAGCCTCCGTGTCTCAATCCTGGCACCCCTCCCCAGTCTCGGCTATCCAGGCTGCGCAGGCCGCAGCAACTGGATTTTATAGCCTATGGAAGTGAGAGTTTATTGCAATTCAGGATTTTACTAGTTTAGTATCTTACCAACGTTGCAATGTCTCTAGTGCACAATCCCATTTGCTGCCAGGTGAAGTCCCTACAATTTGAGCCAAGACACCCATTACCAGCGCTGCCCAATTGATCCTGTTGT